GGGAGGGGGTGTCGGCCCGGGAGGAGGAGTGCGGCAGCTGCCTGTGCCGCAGGAGGTGAAAGTTGAGTGCAGGGGGTCCCTGTGCCGTGGGAGGGGTGGGTTGGGAAGGGAAAATAAGGCTGTCAGCATCACAGGAGTAGAGGTGACCCATCTCTTTACTGGTACGGATTATACTCCAACCAGCACTTCCTTTGCCTGAGGCAGGGACAGGACTAGCACCAGTGATTTCTTGTCCCCCTGAGCTATGGAGCACTCTCCTGGCTCTCTCAGGAATGTAGCTCATCTCCTTAAGAATGTGCCTATAAATAATATCCGCTCAGTGTTTTCTTCAGGAACTGAAAGTAAATAAGGAAATTATATTTAATCCTTTACATAACACCAGAACTAGGCATCATGGCATGGAATTAGTAAGCATCAGGTTTAAAAATATCAATAGGAAGTATTTCTTCAACATACAGTAAACCAATGGAACTCCTTGCCAGAGGATGTTGAAGACTAAACTATAATAAGAAGGTTAAAAAAAGTGGAAAAGTTCCTGAAGGACAGGTCCATGAATGGCTATTAGCCAGGATGGGCAGAGATGCAAAACCATTCTCTGAGGGCACGTCTAATCAGCGGGCTAAAGCCAAAGTTAGCTACGCAACTGAGCTAGATCAATTGTGTATCTTACATCGAAATAGCACCAAAACCTGAAATAAGCTATCTACACAGTAGGAAGAGCACTCTTCCTCCAACTTCCCCTACTCCTCATAAAATGAGGGTTATAGGAGTCAGTAAGAAGTCCACCAGCTCAACACTATTTTGACATTATGTTGAAATAACTGCTTGTAGTGTAGATGTGGACAATGCTATTTTGGGATAATGTTAGTTATTCTGAAATAACACTGCTGTGTAGTCAGAGCCTGAGAGTCCCTAACCTCTTTTTATCAGAAGCTGGGACTAGATAACAGGGGATAGACCACTAGATCCTTGCTTGCTCTATTTATTCCCTTTCCTTATAAAAACCATCTGGCATTGGTCACGGTTGGAAGTCAGGATACTAGGCTAGATGGACCTTTGTTCTGACCCAGTTCAGCTATTCTTTTGTAAAAAATTAATAAAAAAAGTTTAGAACAGAAATTCCCCAAGATAAAGACCTCCCCAGATAATGTGTGATAATGACCTGGGCAAATGATTAGTTTTAAAAATCTTGGCCTACTAGGAAGCATATATTTATATAAGTTTCCCAGTCATCTAGCATTCTGGAATAAACTCAACAAAACATTGTCCAACAAACATATGTTTCTTTAATGTGTACCTCACATTTTCCTCCATTATACCCCACTCAGTTGTTGTCCTTCATCAGTGGAGACTCAGTTTAGAGGGACTTTCATAGGATTTCACCTTCCAAATTTTGGCAAGGGTGATGAGGACAGAAGGCACCTTGCTCTTTCCTCTAGCAGTTCACCACTCACTTTCGTCACTTTTGTTCATTGTACCACTTTTCACTCCACCATTGTGTTACCAATGCCCTGTGCTGTCACCTGCCATTGTGACCTCTGCAAATTGGTCTTTTGAGGTTTCAACTCCCAGTAGTTTTAGCTCTCAGTGAGGGAAGCTCACTGCTAGTTCACTCCAGGCTGCCTCTTCCACAGATTGTGGTCCCATAGCAGGTCTACACATTTAGATGCAATTATCAGTAATTTCAGCCCTAGTGGTCACTTAAAAAAACCCAAAAGATTCTCTACTATGGAGCCTAATGAATGTTGTCCTTAAACAGCAGCGAGGGGCAAGTCAAATAGTGCCTGTGATTCTTAGGCAGATCACTAAACACAACACCTCTTCTCAACCCCTCTGGGATCTAGCATCAGAACCTCCTGCTTAGTAGTTAGTGCATTTCTGCTGAAGGAGACTCCCTTAATCAGGACAGGCTACATACAGTTCTGATGCCATTTACACCCAAACTAAGGATAACAGCATTGCATTATCCCAGCATTCATGTGATTTGTAACCCAACACCAGCCACAACTGATAACTTGGACAAGGGTGGGGAGAAAGTTGGGGGTAATTCAGTGCACGCACACACACTCCTCACCCCCTCTTGGCGGGATCTGGGGAAATCCCTGCATTCACTCCTTCCATTACCAGTATTAAATTTAACAAGATGTTCTGAAGCCTGAGCTGTCCTCTCTAGTCAGGGATTCTGTATCACACACCTGTTCTTGCAGTAGCTTTGTTGAATCCTGTGATTCAACAGACATGCTCTCTGTGCCCTTTCCCCTTTTTCATTTCCTACACTGGTTCCACTGGCTGGACAGATCTGTTGTGCCCCATTTTCTTTCTTGCCAACCAAGCAGCACGTCATTTCTGCTTCTCACCTTAACTACTCAGCTGGTACAATTCACTGGTCAGAATCCAGAATCAGTGGCTGTATCCTCAGAGCATCTGATGAAGAGCACTTTCACTGGCTCTTTCTGCACACTCGAACACTGATGCTGGCCCTGCAAGTAAGCAGATGTCCGACATGGGCATATACAGACGGCAGAGAGCCTCAGTAGCACTCTCACTCAGTTTTCTCTCTTTAATCTTCTCCATCACAGCGTTTAGCAGCAGTTACTGGTGTGAAGGGACAAGAAAAGTTGCAAAACCTTTCTGCACAGATCAGGGAAAAGGGACTCACTGCATCCGCTTCAATAATTCTGATGTGAACAATAGCAATGCCGTGCAGTACATCTGGGAGACCGGCGATGACAAGTTCGTTGACCGAAAGTTTCATGCTGGAATCTGGTATTCATGTGAGGAGATTATTAATGGGGAAGGTGAGTAATAGCCAGACAAATGTACTTAAAAAGTGTTTCACTAAAATGCTTTGTGTCTCCTGCTACCTTGCTCCTATAGAGCTGCATGTTTGCTTGAGGGGGAAAGGTATCTGTCACAAGGGTGCCACTCTGCAGAGGGAGGAGATCCAAACTGTCAGTAGGGATTCCGGGGGGAAAAAAGCCACATTCACATAAACCCTTAGAAATAACTATTATGACAATTAGAATGGCAGACTGCAGTACAGGTTCTTGTTTTGAGTGATTAGCATTAGATGGTTAGATGAGCATTAACTAATTATAGCTACTTCCATTAAAAATTAACAAGATTTGCTCTTCTAGGCAGAGCAGCAAATTAAAGGACTTTTAATAAGAAAGGAGGTTTGAGATTGTTTTTTATTTCTTTGATTTACTGGTGCACTGGATTAAAAGAAACATGTCTGATAATCTGAGCATAATCTCTTTAGATCTCTGATTACAAAACAGGAAGGACGATCTCATTTCTTATTTTAAAATGTCATGTTAATGTATGTATTATTAATCTACAGCGGCTGTGCTGATACTTTATAAACATGTTTTCTAGAAGCCCTGGTTGTGCTAGGAATGACGTTTTATTGTAAAAAATTGATTCACTTTTCTGGGTTTCCTCATTCTCCCCGTAAAGAGATGAAACTTGCCTATTTTCTTGTTGTCATGATGTTGTCATTCCTAAACAAAGGGGAAGCATTGTTTTCCCTGCTGAAGAATACCTTGTCCATTTATCATAAATGCTTATCAAATGTATAATCTAGGCCCACTCTGAGTAACACTAACCACCAAGATGGTATAGAATGAAATTAGTTTGCAACAACATGAAACTTCTGATTGAGCTTTCTAAAGTAAGGTTATTTATCTAATAGAGTACAGTGTCTAGTATAAGCCCAGATTTCCAAGTTATTAACCCTTGTAGCTCCCAAAAGAGAAGTGAACCAGAAAAGAGATGACAGAGGGGTCCGATCGCTCCAGACCTATAAACCTCAAACTCTTAGCAACTAGTTCCATAAATGTTGGGCATGACATCTTAAACGGTCATCAGCAGGGATTAGCAGAGAAGCCCCTCTGGTCAAATGAACCAAGTCTCAGAGATGAGAAACAGAGGCATTCTGGGGGGAGTGATCCCTGTAGAGTAGACTATAGAGGCGAGAGAGCTTTTGTACCTTGTGAATGACTGAAAGAAAAAGTTCATTGCAATCAATTTAATGAGCTTTGTTCACAAGATCTAAATGGGCTGGGAGGCCAGTTGGGGTTTGAGATTCACTAGTGAGCACAAGAGGCTGGAATCAGGTTTCAAATCTGAGCAACAAGCAGGCATTCTTTAGATCACATGAAGGTGAAGCAAACTGAGTTTGGAGGGGCCACCACTTGTCAAGGGAGCTTTGTTTTCACAATGAACCTTTTGGAAAGTAATTTGAGATTCTTCACTCACAACCCCCCCCCCCCCCCCCCCAGCATCTGCTCTGGTCCTGATTCACAGGGGGAGAAATTCTCTCATCCATCTTCGAACAATGAGACTACCATCTCTTTAGATATGGACCACTGCAGGTACCCAACTCCTCTGCTGCTGCTGCCCCTACCCCTAAGGCTGCCACGTGCCCAAGCAAATGCTTAAAAACACAGATAGGCAGTGCTATAGAGTGAATCAATTCCTGAGACAGTTCAAGAATGGTGATGGTAAATTAAGAAGGTTCAGAAAAGAGTAATGAAAAAGAAAAGAAAAGTTGCCTTATAGTGATAGACTTAAGGAGCTTGATTTATTTAGTTTAACAAAGATGGCTAAAGGGTGACTTCATTATTAAATATTTGCCCCCCATGAAATACTTGTGAGCTCTTCAATCTAGCAGACAAAGATATAAAACAATGCAATGGTTGACATTTGAGAACTGACAATTTCAGACTGAAAATAAGTCATAACATTTTAACACTAGGGCTGTGTCTAGACTGGCCAGTTTTTCCGGAAAAATCAGCAGCTTTTCTGGAAAAAACTTGCCAGCTGTCTACACTGGCCGCTTGAATTTCCGGAAAAGCACTGACGATCTCATGTAAGATTGTCAGTGCTTTTCCGGAAATACTATGCTGCTCCCGTTTGGGCAAAAGTCTGTTTCCGAAAGACTTTTGCACAAAAGGGCCAGTGTAGACAGCACAGTACTGTTTTCTGCAAAAAAGCCCCGATCGCAAAAATGGCGATCGGGGCTTTTTTGCGGAAAACCACGCCTAGATTCCCACGGACACTTTTCTGCAAAAAGTGCTTTTGCGGAAAAGCATCCTGCCAATCTAGACACGCTTTTCCGAAAATGCTTTTAATGGAAAATTTTCGTTAAAGCATTTTCAGAAAATAATGGCAGTGTAGACATAGCCTAGGGGTAATTAATTATTGGAGCAATCCACCATGAGCCATGATGGCATCTCCATTACTGGCAATTTTCAAATCAAGTTTGTATGTTTTTCTAAAAGATCTGATCTAGTTCAAAGAGGAATTAATTCCCCAAAGTTCTCTGGCCTGAGCTAGAAGATCATAGTGACCTCTTCTGGGTATAGAATCGCTAACCCCTCCTCTTTCTCAACATCCACATTGAACTATGTTCTGAATTGCAGTAATATAGGAGAGTGGTCCTGCTTTGTATTCATTTGCAATGTGGGCATACTAAACTGCTTGAAGTAGAAATGCTGAAAAGCTGTTATAAGCTATATAAAGGAGCTAGCAAACAGGAACAGCAAACTGAGGAGTTGTGAAAGTTCTCCAGGCACAGAAGAAGCAACTATATGATAACATGCATCTGACGAAGTGGGTCTTTGCCCACAAAAGCTTATGCTCCAACACTTCGGTTAGTCTATAAGGTGCCACAGGACTCCTCACCGCTCATATGATCCTTTGAGTGAGTATGTTGTGCTGTTTGATGAAAGTTTACAGCGAGGTCTGTCTGAAAGAACCAGATACTGAGCCTAGTAGCCTGCTAAGCAAGGATGAGAGCTTCCTAACAGGTATAGACAGTCACTTTTTGATCCCTAATCCCTGTGGGATCCCTGGATAAGGGGTCACAGGTACTTAAAAAGAGGGTTTAAAAAGCCAGCTTCTAAGGGTACGTCTAGACTACATGGCTCCGTTGACAGAACCATGTAGATTAGGTTAGTAGGCAGAGGGAAATGAAGCGGCGACTTAAATAATCGCCGCTTCATTTAAATTAAAATGGCTGCCGCGCTGTGCCGATCAGCTGTTTGTTGGCACAGCACGATAGTCTGGATGCTCCGCGGTCGACAAAGGCCTTTGTCAACCTCCCCGGTAAACCTCATCCCACGAGGCATAACAGGGAGGTCGACAAAGGCCTTTGATGTCAACCGTGGAGAGAAAAGAGCCAGACATGTTCTACAGTCTCTCACCTTAGACCAGAAGCACCCTGACCAAAAGAGGACACTAACCTACTGCTTCTGGCTAAGCCAGTAACTAGCCATCCTGCAGATTTGGAAGGGGGAAGTGTGACCAAAATTGCCTCTGTATTCACACCCTATACACCAGACTTTGTGCAAAATATGCCTTGTGCAGTATCATTGGAAAATTAATAAGTCACTGGTCAATAATATGGTGAAATGTGTTGCAACGTTCTATGTCAAGTTAAATGTTCTGCATGATGTCATTAGTACATGTTCAAACCCACACAACTTGCCTAGGCAAAAGTTGTTCACCAGCTTTTTCCTAAATTTTACCTTAGGATAAATTAGGTATACAGCTTCCTCTTAGCATAACTTAAAGCAATGTAAGGATTTGGTTGTGCCAAGAGAATGGGCTGTGCCTGAAATAAGACTGCTTCTCATAAAACCAAACTGAAAAGAGACAGAATCACCAAATCAAATACATGCCAATTTTGAGGACTGAGGGAATGTTGGAAGACACTGAACCAAAAGGAGCCAGATAAACAGGGGATTCCTTCTCAATAAATCTTACAGAAAAGAGAAAAATGGAGAAATTTTGGAGACCTGTTCTGTTTTGGCATATATAACTCAGTGCTTCAGGGTTGAAAACCAGAATAAAATATTATTGGAAACAAAATTGATTACAGTGCTTTTTTTTTTATAAAACAGTGAACAATAAGAATTCATAGGGATGGAATTACCATTTAAAAAGATTACTAAAAAAATTAAATTGTTTGGGAGCCTGAGCTCTGTGCTTCATGCAGGTTTCATCATAAATTTAGTGATTCATTCACTTAGTTTGGGAGAATATAGTGCACAGTATACTTAAAACAAGTGCTCCCATACGTGCAGTTCTAAACTATAAGCAGCAGTGTGTACACACACACACACACACACACACACACACACACACACACACGTATTCAGTGAAATGTCTTTCATACTAACTGGAATACAGGAGTAAATTTTGCCTCTTTACGTTTTAATCATCTAGTTCTGTGTTTTAAACTTTAAATTTGCGTATGTCTTTTAGGTGAGAAATGCAGAAGTTTTATCAGTCTGACTCCACCTGCAGATCGAGGTAAATATCTGTTTCCAGTACGTGGGGGCTCTATACCTTCCCTGCTGCACATTTAGCATTCTAAATACTTTCCCCTTTCTGCCTCTGGAAATCTCCTCTTTAATCTCTGAGGAAAGTTTTGGGACTTTATTTGGGTTTTCAAAACACTAACATGAAGTTTGAATCTGATAAAATGTAAGGGTGGGAATTCCAAAGCATCGAATCTGATTTTAAACATTCAGAAATTGCTCTACTCAGCATTGTGCTGCCGAATCCCTCAAGGTGTGTCACCCTGTAAAACCCTCAGCCCCCAGGTAAACACCATACAACACATGGAGACAGTTCGGTGCCCAAGACGGAGACTCTTGGAAACCACGAAGGTAAACAGAGAACTGCCTAAGCAAACCAGCCAGGAATGAAATGCTGAGAAGGGCATAAAGAAAAGAAGAGCTGGTCTTGGGCGCCTGAGGGTATGTCTACACTACCCTCCTACTTCGAACTAGGAGGGTAATGTAGGCATACCGCACTTGCAAATGAAGCCCGGGATTTGAATTTCCCAGGCTTCATTCGCATAAGCGGGGCGCCGCCATTTTTAAATCCCCGCTCGTTCGAACCCCGTGCTGTGCGGCTACACGCGGCATGAACTAGGTAGTTCGAACTAGGCTTCCTAGTTCGAACTACCGTTACTCCTCATTCCAC